CAGTGATATGCAATCCTGCAATAAGACGGTGACAAGTACAATGAATTCTGCATGACACGTGTTCAAGATAAGATCACAGTCTGTAAAGTGAGATTCTTCTAACTATGATAACATCAGTTCCCCAAGCGGTCAAGTGATGTATGCTCAGGGACGCGTTCAGCAGTCCACTCATTAGATCAGATGATGTTCTACAGTCCTGGCCATAGTTGTTGGGAAACGTGTCACGTGTCAATAGACATACCCTTCCCAGGCCCCCCAATCCCCGGTCAATGTTGTCATCTCGTGCTGGAGCACAGGCCGTGCATCGACACCTAACATTGAGAGAGGAGCCGGGGGTTGGGGGCCCAAGGAGATTTGGCTGGGATTGTATATATTCCTGTCATCTTCGACATTTCTATTCCAATCCGTAAAAGTGCTAAAGCAGGCAAAACGTATATGGTGTAGAACTATCACAAACCCAAATGTTCATCGGATGTGCTGATTACAGTCCCTTTGCCGAAAGGTGAAGCCGAGGGGGAGGGGTTATAGTACAAGGTTTATGAAACACGCCTTTTTTCTCTCCCTTTCTGACACCATTAAAACGTGTGGCGAGTAGCAACAGTAAAACAGCTTATTTAATACAAATAGCATTAATATGTACACAGTCTGCCTATATCACTGCTGGCCTTTTTTTTATGTTATGCAAAGATTGTTAGGATAATGAAATAAAATAGAGAGCTCTCCTACAATTCTTCGCAGTGCACAAAGTCTGCTCAGGACACCATTACGTCATGTTTCCAGATTTTTTGTTTTAATTACGGGTGTTGATTTTGTCTTTATGCATGATCTACGTCAGCTACTTTCTTAATGACAAATTTACATATCACTTTCGATTCTTTACATAATACATTGTGCATATACACGAATATCATTCGGTACACGATGCCATATCAAAAGGGACATCGAACAACGAGGCAAATGACCTCGTTGTATTCATTTCCGTATTAATTTCTTTGTCTAGGTTTGGAAATCAAGTGGCATAAACACGACAATCCAATCATTTCAATGCAGGAAAAAGTTACATGTGTCGTTTTCAGTAATGGATTAACCTCCCGTATTTCAAAAAGAAATCAAAAACGAATGTTTGTTCGGATAATTGAAAACATTAGCCTATGGGATTAAGAAAAGCCCTGAACTTAGCTGGGACAGGGTCCGCCCCACCATCTTAACCCAGCCCCTTTTGTTGCTGCAACAATTCGACTGTACATTTGTAAAGTTTGAAATAGCCCCACTTAAAGGCGACAGCCACAAACAAAGGCTTGTTTTTTTTCTGATTATTATATACGATTAATTAACTAGTTTCATTTTCTCAGAATGTAGTTTTCCTTCCAACAGATGGTTTGCCCCTTAACAAAATGCAAGCGATGACTCGTTTTCAATTATGGCGAGAGAAGACTCCTTCAATAAGTACATTTTGCCTGTTTCGCTTTTGATCAGCAAAGCAATCAAACAGCTCACCTTTTAAAGTGACAGGAAAATTTATGTACAAGTGCTGAAATTTTTGATCCGTTAAATCTTACGATACTGTACATAATGCAATCGTAACTCAAATTAGGTTCAAACACTTTCATTATATGAAAAACTACAATATACCCAATCACGTTACGTCCCAATGGCCGCTGAGTTCGAGAATTTCTAACAGCCAGTTATTACATAGCTTTCTAAATACCTCAATAATTCTGGTTCACTGTAACCTGCAAATAATTTGCCGATATGGCTAAATTTCCTTCGTCCTCTGAGTGAAACACAAAGGGTCATTTAAAAATCCCACTCATACACGTACGGTTGATCCACAGATATAAGTATTGCTGAAAAGACGCAGTTATGAAAAGGAAACTTAAGCCAAAAATTAAACAGAAACAGAAAGAAAAAAGCAAAAGCAAACAAATGAAAATATACACAAAATATAATTTAAAAAATGAGAAAAAAATCACTGAACCCGTGCTATTGCCGGGGTAATGCCTTGGCAAATACACTTAGTTAACTTTGAACCTCCCCCGATAGAGATTCATCTCCAGCTCAAAGCATCACATTTACTTATCGTTATGACAATAAAACCAACACAACGACAATTCCTCAAAAACGCACAAGCACTGCAGGTCAAAAGCCAGGGGAAACCCGGAGAAGATGATGAGGGTTAATGCTTTCAATGTGGGCGGAAAATCCTGGAACCTGCAGAAGAGGGACTGGGCAAGATTTGAAACCAAGGTCACACAAGACGGAAAGTGAGGAAAGCACCACGTACATCAACCTCACTCTCTTTACGTTGATGACTCGTTCTGTTCCGCTCTCTTTCCTTAGTTATAACGTTAATTACTTTGGGTATCTGGGCGCGCTGTTTCCATTCCTGTGAATTCTGGGTCGGTTCATAGAAAGCGTTTGATTTGCTCATGCCTGTCTAAGAAAAACAGCCATCTGACTGGGATGAAAATTCTACGGAGGGCATGCACATCAAGAGGGAATTCTGCTAGTAAAGGAAAAATGCTCATTCGAGCTTCGCCACTGCGTCATAGAAACAGGGTCCCTGGCCTGAGATGAAAGCGAAAGCAATCCTGCGCGGAAACGTAGTAGTGACCTTGAGGGGGGAAATAGAAATACATAGACAAGTAAAAAGGAAACTGCAAAGGAAAGAAATAAAGTAAACAGAGGGCGATTTTACCAACACAAATTGTATGCAGTGATCCATGCATAAGAATGTCTAGCAAAGAACAGTGAAGATTACTTTTCCATTGTCTGTGATTCGAATACCGTTTCACACATTTCACATGAAGTAGAAATTTTATCTTGCTTATAGTTCATTTGGACAAAGGCAGAGTTCCAAAAGGGAGTTCCAACAGTCATATCCTACTGTATCGATGATTTTTTTCGCATATTTTTCTAAGGAACATCAAAGTCAACAAAGAAATTTTTTAACATCGGTGGAAAGGTTAGCGGGCCCTGCAAGATTTCGACTCTATGTGGACTGCGTGTGCGTTCCTTCACTAGCTCCTTCCTTCACTGGTCGTGTAGAATACGAAATGACTCTGATTGGCTATTCAGGATGAATACACATAAACGTACAGTGAATCGCACGCATATTTCAATGATTCAAGCTCACGCCCACGCACTCTCCTGCACGTCACGTACACTTTAAAAAGGCGCCAAGAGTTTAAATGCATAACACTTTTTGTACCCACTTTCTTAACAGCGACGCGTTTATTATTATGTGTTTAGGAATGCGTTTAAATGCTAAGTAGATTTCAAAAGGCTGAGNTTCAACGGCCAAACGCAACGTACTCGTATGTTATATTAATGGAGTCGATTTTTGTGTCCGCAGAAGTGAAACGCATGAACGCGACGTGTACGCAACGCACCCAAAAAGTACATATGGAAAGGCGACTTAAATCTCCGTTGCGTGCAAACACATTGACAAATCTCAAAATCAATGGGATATTCAAGTCTTACAATGACGACTCTAGATAAAATCTTATAGGTCATGTATAACCCACGGACATAAATAGATCAAGATGCAACATGTCAAGCGTCAAAAGAAAGTCCTGGGTGGATCCAGTGTCTGAATGTACATGCAGGCTATTAATGTTGGCGGTCATTTTGAAAACATGCAAGAACTGTAAAAAGAAAAAGGAGGTGATAGTAGCAAACAAAAGAAAACATCCTTATGCGTAGTGCAACCCGTCTGTCCAGGTAAACTGCGTCCCTTTTTGCCCGTTTTAGGCCTTCTACACACACGGCCGGAACTACCCGTACATCAACGATGCTAGCCGTATGTGGGCTATTTGGGGTAGATTCCGGTTCAAGCCCCCACCCCCAACAAATGCTGGTCGCGCTGTTGTCCTTCAATGGCAAGTCTAACCTACAGTGAGAACAAATTACTGTTTAAAAAAACAAGCCCAGGCCCTAATTTACGTCCATGGAAATCACGATGATTTCCATAGAAACATATCACGTCATGACAAATAATGTGGCAACTGATAAATTTTCAACTTTCTTGTGTAGTCATATACAGGTTGTACAAACAATGAGATTTGTGTGACTGGATTAAGATGAGCATTTTTTGCCAAGTGACACCCCCCCTTGACAGTCAACATCTGTATAGTGTTGTTTTATCAGCTTCCGTACTAAAATAACGAAATGGCGCAAAAGGTGGGATAAGTGTCAAAACTTTGTTTTGAGGCGTCTTCGGTGTACAAGCTTAGTTTGGCTAATAAACTGCAAGATTTTGCTATGGAAGCATTTTGATCGCTGACGCGTTTGATTTTTCAAATGAAAAGCCAAAAGTTGGAATGTATGTATATTCATGAAACAACATTAGGATGTTTTCATTACCCGCGTCCCTTTCCAACCAACAGTCCACACTGACAGGACACTATTCAAAGCAGTCTTGCCAAAGCTAATCACACCAATATGGATAAAAATTATACATTTCTTTTTATTTTGGTTCTGAAATCAGTCACACTCACTCACTGTTCTCTCCTGTGTTACAATGTATCATTAATGAAAAATGAAATTGTTTCACGGCAGAACGCCAAATATTAAGTTTAAAACTTAATTAAACATGTGCGAGTAGACCATATCTGATAACAGCTTTAAAAGTTATGTCATTGACATTCTCTGACATCGAATGAACAAACAAATAGTTTTATTTTCAACCGAAATAGTTGCATCACCACCCAGCTGGATACACATTTTTCAGGAGCATGTACAGCTGAAAGCCCAGAACCTTTGTTATCTTTCAGACATTTTGAGACCAGATTGGTAAGCAAAGAATCTTTTTTTTCTAAANTTAAGCAACAGTAAAACGTCGTATTTAATACAAATAGCATTAATATGTACACAGTCTGCCTATATCACTGCTGGCCTTTTTTTCATGTTACGCAAAGATTGTTAGGATAATGAAATAAAATAGAGAGCTCTCCTACAATTCTCCACAGTGCACAAAGTCTGCTCAGGACACAATTACGTCATGTTTCCAGATTTTTTGTTTTAATTACGGGTGTTGATTTTGTCTTTATGCATGATCTACGTCAGCTACTTTCTTAATGACAAATTTACATATCACTTTCCATTCTTTACATAATACATTGTGCATATACATGTATTTCATTCGGTACACGATGCCATATCAAAAGGGACATCGGACAACGAGGCAAATGACCTCGTTGTATTCATTTCCGTATTAATATCTTTGTCTAGGTTTGGAAATCAAGTGGCATAAACACGACAATCCAATCATTTCAATGCGGGAAAAAGTTACACGCATCGTTTTCAGTAATGGATTAACCTCCCACATTTCAAAAAGAAATAAAAAAAGAATGTTTGTTCTGATAATTGAAAACATTATGGGATTAAGAAAAGCCCTGAACTTAGCTGGGACAGGGTCCGCCCCACCATCTTAACCCAGCCCCTTTTGTTGCTGCAATAATTCGACTGTACATTTGTAAGGTTCGAAATAGCCCCACTTAAAGGCGACAGCCACAAACAAAGGCTTGTTTTTTCTGATTATTATATACGATTAATTAACTAGTTTTATTTTCTCAGAATGTAGGTTTCCTTCCAACAGATGATTTGCCCCTTAACAAAATGCAAGCGATGACTCGTTTTCAATTATAGCGAGAAGACTTCTTCAATAAGTACATTTTGCCTGTTTCGCTTTTGATCAGCAAAGCAATCAAACAGCTCACCTTTTAAAATGACAGGAAAATTTATGTACAAGTGCTGAAATTTTTGATCCGTTAAATCTGACGATACTGAACATTATGCAATCGTAACTCAAATTAGGTTCAAACACTTTCATTATATGAAAAACTACAATATACACAATCACGTTACGTCCCAATGGCCGTTGAGTTCGAGAATTTCTAACAGCCAGTTATTACATAGCTTTCTAAATACCTCAATAATTCTGGTTCACTGTAACCTGCAAATAATTTGCCGATATGGCTAAATTTCCTTCGTCCTCTGAGTGAAACACAAAGGGTCATTTAAAAATTCCACTCATACACGTACGGTTGATCCACAGATATAAGTATTGCTGAAAAGACGCAGTTATGAAAAGGAAACTTAAGCCAAAAATTAAACAGAAACAGAAAGAGAAAAGCAAAAGCAAACAAATGAAAATATACACAAAATATACATTAAAAAAATGAGAAAAAGCCACTGAACCCGTGCTATTGCCGGGGTAATGCCTTGGTAAATACACTTAGTCAACTTTGAACCTCCTCCGATAGAGATTCATCTCCAGCTCAAAGCATCACATTTACTTATCGTTATGACAATAAAACCAACACAACGACGATTCCTCAAAAACGCATAAGCACTGCAGGTCAAAAGCCAGGGGAAACCCGGAGAAGATGATGAGGGTTAATGCTTTCAATGTGGGCGGAAAATCCTGGAACCTGCGGAAGAGGGACCGGGCAAGATTTGAAACCAAGGTCACACAAGACGGAAAGTGAGGAAAGCACCACGTACATCAACCTCACTCTCTTTACGTTGATGACTCGTTCTGTTCCGCTCTCTTTCCTTAGTTATAACGTTAATTACTTTGGGTATCTGGGCGCGCTGTTTCCATTCCTGTGAATTCTGGGTCGGTTCATAGAAAGCGTTTGATTTGCTCATGCCTGTCTAAGAAAAACAGCCATCTGACTGGGATGAAAATTCTACGGAGGACATCCACATCAAGAGGGAATTCTGCTTTAGCTTTCTGATTCGACGCCCCCACTCGACGTACACATTGGGTAATTCTAAAAGAGTTCTTTCTCTATCATTTGGAGAGAAGAGGCGACAGTTCTGGTGGCACCCTCATAGGCGGGCTCTCTGTCTATGGGAGACCTTCGCGATTTGACCATGTGACACGTGAAGGTTATGGTGAAGGTAATCAGGAACAGCGTTGCAACGATGCCGATGACAATCACGCCTACCGGGCTGGACTGCCGAGAGGGCTGGGTCTGACCAGGACGATGAGCTGGCGTGGGCTCCCCCGTCTCACTGGGTTTCTCAGAGGGATGGTGGGTCTCACTAGGGCCAGCAAGCGTATGAGGATCATGTCCTTTGCTGGGCACTTGTTTTGAGGTTGCCCCAACCGTGGAGAAATCCTTCGGTTCCTGTTCGGTCGGATCAAAAGTCCCTGGAATCAGAAAGAGGTGGTACCAAGGACTTGGTAACTCACAGTCCGTGGTGTGCGTCATTTCACATCTCACTTGGCTTCCGTTGTCTGAAGCCAAGAGCTGGGAAACGATCAGCCGATTGGCTGAGGTGACGAATCGACCCGTGGTGTTAATGGAAACAGTCTGGTTCCCCGAATCCTTCTTGAGCCATCTAAACGAAGAAGAGCCTGACTGAGGGTTAGTGTCACAGTAAAATTCCCCAACACCACCCACAACAAGATCTTCTTTTTGGATGATATTGACAGACATGTTTAGGGGGGTTGGACAGATGGCGCGATTTGTGACGATTAGCACCCCACGACTCGAAGACTCATGCTCGACTCCACGGAAAGCGAAGCAGTTGTACTCCTTGCTGTCAGCCGGACTTACGTTGTTAATTACCAGCGTGTAAGTCGTGTCGTTTCCGCTGGTTTCCACAAAGGCTGAGTACTTGTCCACATTGGCTTCGGAGAGAACCTGTGAGCAGCCCGTCAGTGATTGTGTGTCACTGTCTTTGCCTCCTATTGGTCGATGCACCCAGTAGACCCTGTCTTGTGATGGGCAGTCTATGTAATAGTTGATTTGGCAAATAAATGTCGCTGTCTCACCCGCCATTACACTCTGATTCCATGGGGCTATACTAATTTGCGCAGTCTCCGATGAGGATACAATTATTTGCAGGAAAATGCTCACAAGAGAAAAGAAGATTTCCAGCACTGGAGCGGGAGCCATGATCGCATTTATCAGATAACAAACAAAATGGTACTCCTTAGACAAGCTACGTTTTCTGTTTTATCCTACCGTTGATACGAGAAGGAAACAAGTAAAGGAAAAATACTCATTCGAGCTTCGCCACTGCGTCATAGAAACAGGGTCCCTGGCCTGAGTTGAAAGCGAAAGCAATCCTGCGCGGAAATGTAGTAGTAAGCTTGAGGGGGAAAATATAAACACATAGACAAGTAAAAAGGAAACTGCAAAGGAAAGAAATAAAGTAAACAGAGGGCGATTTTACCAACACAAATTGTATGCAGTGATCCCTGCATAAGAATGTCTAGCAAAGAACAGTGAAAATTACTTTTCCATTGTCTTTGATTTGAATAACATTTCACACATTTCACATGAAGCAGAAATTTCATCTTGCTTATAGTTCATTTGGACAGTTATACTTCATCTGGACAGTTATAGTTCGTCTGGACAGTTACAGTTCATTTGGACAGTTATTCTTTTGTTAAAATACGAGGCAAAACCATGGGCATACGCATAGTGCTAAAGGCAGAGTTCCAAAAGGGAGTTCCAACAGTCATATCCTACTGTCTCAATGATTTTTTTTCGCCTATTTTTCTAAGGAACATCAAAGTCAACAAAGACATTTTTTAATATTGGCGGAACGGTTAGCGGGCTCTGCAAGATTTCGACTCTATGTGGACTGCGTGTGCGTTGCTTCACTAGCGCCTGGTCGTGTAGAATACGAAATGACTCTGATCTACACATAAACGTTAAGTGAATTGAACGCATATTTC